TTTATTTTAAAGAATTAATTATTTCTGCACTCGGAAACACGCAACTACATTCGCAATTTGTGTTTGTTTCGAAGAACGTGAGATTTGAAAGGGTTGAACAAAAAATCTAATTAATTCAGCATTTACAGGCATTAATTTGGAATGGACACGTGTAGTTTCTGCATTACATCTTTCATCTTTTATGTTCCACAGAAAATATATAGTCGTTAATATGATACGCGTGGTATTATAACAGTAAACATTGTAAAGATTAACATTTGCGTTATGATTTAACAACATTGTAAGGTTATATTAAACATCCAGAAATATTTTTACACAACGTTAGAATAAATTATACATAAAATAAAATAATTTAATTGATTTTATTTATAAATTACAGCATAAATTAAAATAGAAAACATGTTTAGCAAACACTTTACCGCTCGAGTTTTTTCGATAAGATGGATATCATATGATTAATTTACTCTTTAATATTTTCTGTTATAAATATATCATTTATACACGATATTTCATTATTTTTATATTATAAATTCTTATTTTAGTTATTTATTTCTTGTTTTTCTAAGCATATTTCTTGGTTCTTTGCACTCTTGATTCCGAACATATTCCTTATTATTAGCATTTAATAATAGCGAAAAATTTAAATTATTAATTTATTTTCATGTTTATAAATTTAAAAAAAAATGCTTAAATAATATTTTTATTGATGAAATATTGATTTAATTGTAAGAAACGATATCCCAAAATGTAGTGCCGTAACTAGCCATTCCTGTGTCCTGTGCAAGAATTTGCATTTAGGCCCCTTAATTAATTAGGTTTGGGAAAATAATGAAAACAAACACATACATTTTAGGCTTACCTTTCAAGTGGGCCCTGTTTTGCCAAAATATTCCATGAAAAATTAGTGTGTAACCTAGAGCCATATTTAGACTTATGGCCCTGAGATACTACGTACACGAGGCCCTTTTCTTTCTTCTTCGCCAAATAATAATAGGAAGTACGTGTAAACTGTCTTTGAGAATAGAATGAGGCCTCCTCGTTTGATGAGGCCATAATCTGCTGCTTGTTTAGAATATACGTGAACTCGGCTATGATATAACCAGTCTACATACAAGATCGGAAGCTAAACATGCAACAGGTTAGGGCCTCACATTACATGGATATAGTTTAGGGCATCACCTCGCAATAAGTCATAAGTCTAAATTCGGTTCTTCCTACATGTTTACCCACTATTGATTATAAATGAGAAATTAATGGTTTATTTTCATTTTAAAATTACTTTTTTGTAATTGTAAACACCGACAAATGCTCATTAATTAATAATATTTAGAATTGTATAGGAAAAGTTTATAAATTAGCTTCAATTAATTATTTCGATTTATTTCTTATATTTCACTTTTTTGATAATAGATGGCAGCACTTGTTTGCTTCTTAATAAATTTGTAATTTTTAAAATATTTTACTAAAATTAAGTTGTAATTAATGAGTAAGAAATAAATACATAATTTGTAATACTGTAAGATGTGTTTTAATTGTTTTTAATTTATTAAGATATAAATAAATCGGAACAGTTTCTCATAAGAAAATGTCTTCCCTTTGGGAAATTAATCTGGTATTGCGTTTCTTTAAGTCATTAAATTTAAATAGTAAATATAAAACAATGCTTTTCAGTATAAATGAATGTAATAAAACAAGAAAAAGTATTTAAGCTAGTAAATGTTAATAATTAAAAATTAAAAAAAAATTTATTGGTCTTAACAATTTGTATTACGTCATTGATTGTATCATTTTGTGAACTTTGTCATGCATAAATGGTTAATTATTATTTAAGATAATTTGTATCTTGTATTGATTTCTGCGTGTAACGTAACTGAATGTTTGAGAAGCGTGTTCATTTATTATTGCTTTTTATTAAATTTATAGTTAATGGCTATGTTATAATTTTTATTAAAAGAAAAACAAAACACACATACTTAATATACAATATCATCTGATTTTCAGAAAGCACTGGCCATGGGTGTCAAATGGCTATGTTGTAATTTTTATTAAAAGAAAAACAAAACACACATACTTAATATACAATATCATCTGATTTTCAGAAATATATAAGACAATAACAAAAGGGATAAAATGGAAAGGTATTGATTACTTGTGTTAAACTGAGAGTTTAACACAAGTAATCATAAGACTCGGTAGAGGCAAGCCGTTAAAAGTCAGACAACGAACGAACAAACGGTGAACCTTACTATACTGTAATTAAAACACTTTGTCTTCTTCCTTTTCTGAGTTAATATCGAGGCTTTTAGCTCGAGCGCTTTTTCCTCCGATGCTGCGATCTCTGTGGGTCGAATACCCTCTCTATTCGAATTCACATTTTATTAAAGTACTAATAATATACGTATCATTCGAACAAAATATGAGTATCATCATTATCTGCTGATTTTTTCGACCTACTTATCAAATTTTATCAAGTTTCGTCCATTCCTTTCCGAGATATCGATTTTTATCGATACTTTTCATTTCCTTCAGTTAAAAATATAGCCTACGTTATACTACAGGCCTGTGCATCTGGCTTGTCTATTGTGTATAGTGTTCGCGCTTAGTTTGGAATTTTCTCCGACAAAAGTCGCCAATACGGACTGTTGAGTGTAGTAATAGCAATCTTTTTTTTTTAATTAAAAACTGGTCAACTTCAATAAATTGTAATTATTATTACAGGCATTTTTGAAAAAAATTCTNGAATTTTATAATTTTAAGTTAAAAATAAGTATAATCTGTCTATGAAAAGAATCAACTTGGGTATTAGTACCAATGAGGATCAGCCATTGATTGCTTAGTTGTGGCATGTTACTTCAGGTTTCTTCCTCATTTGTTAAATATGTCACCGCCATTATAAACAGTGTTATGGAAGCTTTACGTTCTTATATTCGTTTACGAGGAAGTTAACTATAGTAGTTGTTAAATGCATGATTCTTTACAGTTAATGCAGGCTTTAAAAAATTAACACAATTAATGGAAAAGTCGTTCTGCATTGTATTGGGAGAAAATAAAATAAAATTCACACATTGCCTGACAAATTAAGAGAAAAGTGCTGACATCATGTGCTAATTAGTCTAACTGAAGCAAAATCACGCGTGACGTTATTCTCAAGTCGATTCTTTCCATAGACAGACTAAAACTTCTGACTGTAAAAATGTTATGGGTATGGGCTTTGAAGCGCCAAGTTTATCTTTACCAAAGAAAAAGTTTTATGAAAAATTTTGACTGTGGTCTAAATTATAATAAGTTTTTACTTAATGCAATTTTTTTCGCTGTTTCGAACGCTTTCAATATTTATCTGTAATTGTCATGAGTTGAGCACTAAATATACAAGTGTCCAATGATCCGAGGATATTAGGCATGAGCTTGCTCTTACTCTTGGCCAAAGGGATATCAACTGGCCATGTGATCTTCATCTTCTTCTTAATGATCGTGACAACCACAAGGTATTCAAAAACGTCAGTCATAAATATCACATGCGTTCACCCGCACACTAATGTCTATGTCATCATTGCAATATCATCATTTGCTCACTGCCATTGTTTGTCTTTATCACTTCTCGTTATCTGCTGTCTGTTATCTGTGTACTGTATATATCATTTTCTTTCTTCATCTATAGTTTAAGTTGTATTATTTTTTTTTAACTTTCTTCTTACATGTTGTAGGCCTTAATAATTAATATTTAATTCTACTCTTATGCTAATTATCATGTTAGTTGGTTCTTATATCTGTCATCTTTTCATCTGTTCACACCAATTTCATTAAAATTGTTATATTTTTTATTCTATATTCTCTCTGTAATTATTTGTGTCTGTATGCTTGGTAATTTGTGTAACACTGTTCTTAACCTGATTATGCTCGGTGGTATTGGGGAATAAATAAAGTATATATACATGCAGGAGAGGGCAGGGCTAGTTGTGACAGTTTTTGCTATTTTCTATATAGTGTATATAGTGTGTCTACTAGCTGCACTTCTAAAACAAAATTATATGCACTGTATACTTGATTGTTTTAAGGAAGTGATAAAGCTGTTAGTAATAAACCACAGAATCAGCGCCAACCTCTGGATCCACTCCTCTTATTTCACATACTGTAAAATTTTTTCTGTCGGCTTCATTGTAGGCCTGGACGAACCCAAATGTGTATGATTAAAAACGTCCCAAGACAAATATGAATGGAAAAAAAAGGACATAAAGGAAAGTGTGGATGTCAGCATTTCTAGCCCCAATATGCTTAAAGTGCTGAGCCTTCTGGAATGCATGGATGGGTTGATTACCTGACAACTCTTCCGTTATTTATGAAGATTTCTTGCATGATTTGTTTCTTCATAAGTTGATCATTTGTGTGTTATTATTAGCAGTAACGAGCAGAATTTAGATTTACTTTACTTTATAATGATATTACGAATTTTTAAATTTAAAAAAATATCTTTTGTCTTATACCCAAGATAATATAGGATTGTAGAATGTTAGGTTTTATTTATATACGGCAATGCGACACATGAACGATCTGCCGAGGGGAATGTCTTCCGAGAGGTCTTATATGGGGAAACTGGCCTTTATTTAGGTGTTACAAATGTGAAGAAAAACCCAGAAAATCCCACGTGACCGACCATTTGGCAAGGTGTGAACCCATGACAAACTACGAGTGTTCAATAATTTTATTTTCTCGGCCACTGGTGAGCAGGATTGTTGGGATAAAGCAACGCAATATATAAGCTATCTGTCAAGAAGGAACAACTTTAATGGAAACTGGCCTTTATTCAAGTACTTTCTGGGAAACTAATTGTTATTGAGGCATTTCGTAAGAATTTGTTTTCATTTCAGGTATTAGACATTCAAAAAAACTCCATGGCCAGCCCGTTCGGTCAGGCGTGAACCCTTAAACCAACTACTAGTGTTTATTGGTTCTATCCATTCGGCCACTGATGAGCCAGAAAATAAAATAAGTCAACACTAAATTTATAATTTAGAACATACTAAAAGTAAGCATAAATTCAAATAATTATCATAATTATTACCTTCATTTTCTTTGTCATCGATATTGGTATCTTGCAGTTGGAATTTTTTGCAAGTATTCTTTAAAAAGTAGAAAATTATACATAGAAGTGAACAGGTTATACATTGACTTAATCCATAAAGCAATGGAAACAAGAGAATTAAGATATTCTTCTACAAAAATAAAGTTCATATTTTACTTAAGTAAAATATTCATAAAACTTAAACAATAATATTTAAATAATAAACATACGCTAATATCAAAGGATAAAGTAATAATCATGTATGCGACAGCCACATTTTGAATCCCGCTCTCAATGGCTATCGCTGTGCTGACTGGTCTGGGTCTTCTACAAAGGTGAGCCACAGCATATCCAATTATAATTCCGGTTATGGGTAAAGTTGCAAATGTTATAATAATTTTCCAAGAAATTATGTCGAATACATGCTTAAAATAAACTGTATATACTACCAACATAGCTATAATGAGAAATAAACCTGTGGCACCTCCCCACTATTAACGAAAATAATAAGATGGCAATTTATAAGATCGTAACGAATGCTAATTAATATAAAATTTTAAGGAAAATTAGTTTATACCTTTGTTATATAAGGAGATACTTTAGGAGCTTTCCATTTTATAATCATACCCAAAATCACGGGAGGAATAATCAATAATAATGATAATGCAACATTGCCATAAGGTATTATTAAGTTCTTAGCTTTTGTATGATTTGCATATATCCATATATTCAAAGGCATCATGCCAAAAGATGCCAAGGTAGATATTGTAGTCATAGTCACACTATAATAGATAAATGTTGATTTTTTTCGTTTACACCCCCAAAATTTCTAATTCATACATACCTCAGCGATAAATCACCATCCAAATAATATGTAAATACATTAGAAACTATACCTCCGGGACAACATGATATAATATGCAAACCAGCTGCTAGACTTGATTCGAATTGAAATATTATATTATATATAAATCCTATTAATGGCATCATAATAAATTGGCAAAAGATTCCAATGGCAGGTCCAGCAGGTCTTCTAATGTCTTTATAAATCTATTCGAATTTAATATAATATTCAAGATAAAAAAGATTAAAAATTATGATAAATGTCAATACCTGGTTCCAAGAGATATCTGCTCCAATAGAGATCATTATGATGATTACAGTAAGTATTCCCAGAATATTTGCAACATTTTGATGATATTCGTTAATATAGAAACCGGAGGTATTATTACAAGTGTCATTTCTTTCAAGAAAATCTAAAGTATCGTTTTCCATTCCTATTTTTCAATTAGAAATCGTAAATATAAATTTACACAAATAATGTTTCATATACAGTTTAACCTCTGAACAATGGCCACTGAAGGAATATAAAAAGAAATGGCCGTTATTAGGAACGACCCTTGTTGGAGGTTGTTCAACATGCTTGAATAAATGCATTTGACATTTATTCTTGCGTGGTGGCCGTTATTGGAGGTTTAACTGAATTTAATTTTCAATATTGTAAATATAAATTACAATTTTGTTTGTTCCTTCGCGAGAATTTATAGGAAAAACTGAAATATATTTATTATATACACTGTCAATAAAAATATCAGAACTACAATTTATTTCCAGTTGTTTGCATGAAGATTTTTCCGTATTAATGTCAAAGAAATTCGAAAGTCCTTGAATTTGTTAATGATGATAATAGAATTTAAGACATAATCGGATAAAAAATTAAGTAAAGATAATTTGAATGATTTTTTTTATTTCATTAATATTTATGATTCTTTTTATGATAGGCTACTGTAAGATTGTGGTTCATAAATTTCATTAATAAGCATTTGGAATTTAGTTAAAATGCTTATATTATATTCAATGAATTGGATTCGATTGATCTGTTAAGACAATGGTATTCAAATGGGTGCCTCAAGAACACTTCAGGAGAGAGTAAGGACTCCACAAGAAATAGAGGTATCGCGAGAAAAAAACTTTCTAAGTTGGATGCCACTATTAAAAATACGTTGAAAAAACACTGGGTTAAAACAACGTGGGCGATCTGTCAATGCGGAGTGCCTTCCGGGAGGATTTCTTATGAGAAACTTCATCCTAGTTCCTGCCCATTCCGAGTTGGCCTATAGTAGTACAAAATTAATCCGCCACTGTTATGAAACTAGGATGCGGTCGCAAACCGATTTGACGTTTTAAAACAAAGTGGTAGAATACAGAATGGAGAATTCTTATAACACGTGCAATATCACCGACATTAGACATGCTATACAAGATAGTGTGCAAAATTGTGCAAAACTTCGTGCATTTTTATCCACCATACAAGATATCCTACACTAAAGAATTGGTTTCTTATGATAATGATAAGAAAAGGAAAACATTTTCTACGGCATTCATAGCTTGGACGATGGTTGATGCATGAACCTGGCAAATTATGCGCAGGAATAAGGCTCATTTCGCGATGTAAACACTCACAACTGCCGTATTTGGTCTGACGAAAATCCAGGTGTTCATGAACAAATTCTATTGAACTCACGAAAAGTAACAATGTGGTGTGGTTTTACAGTATTCTCTATCTCTCTGCATCTGAGCTAGTTACGTATTCTCTTTCTGCTGCTAGATATGAAGATATGCACCAAAACTTCCTTATTCCAGCACTACAGTAGAGAAATTGTCTAAACATCGCTATCTTTTTGCAAGATGACGTAGCCCAACAAGTCGGTTTAAATGTGCAAACCTTACTGAAACAGTTTTTTCACGAGAATGATTTGCCAATTATTTACAACGTCATGGCTACTACGATCTCCAGATCTGAACTCTTATGACTATTGGTTTTGGGCCTAAAGAACATCGTTTATTAAGGCAATGTTTCCAACCTAGTTGGTTTAAAATGCGAAACTTCATAACGTGCCACAACTCCGCCGTTTTCTGCTATCGAATGTATTTTTCAGCGAGTGTAGATTTTACAGAAAGAACATATTGTTTCTTCCGTCTTCATGATGAACTTCCAAAATTCGTTCGAAAAAAAAACGTAGGTAATGTGCACATTAAGGACAAAAACCTTTTAAAAAACCCGAAAAGCACATTAAGGTAATGTGCTTTTCGGGTTTTTTAAAAGGATTTTGTGTTTTTTTTACTCGTATAAATTAAAGGGGTGTTTTTTTACTCGTATAAATTAGTTTTAAATATGAATTAGTTTTTTATAAAACTTCTCTCTGAAGGCACTTCCCATTCGTAGATACCCATGAGTTTCTTTGAATTATTCCATTAATCCAATCTAATCTATACGTGAGCATTTGTCGTTCTTTCTGTTTGTTTTACAAAATGGCCACTCACTTCTAAAAAGTTTTGTATAAACTATTTACTTCTTGTGTATGAAATAATCGTATAACAAAGTTTCTATTCATCTTTACCATTTTTAATAAAAAGTATCTAATTTCAAAAGCAGAAAATCAAATTTCCTGTTATTCTTTAAGTTATCCTTATTTTTATTACATAAAATAATATTATTTTAAGTATAATTTAATTAAAATGTATAATAAATCTTACTTGAAATATAAAAATTCTGTAAAATTATTATAGTATACGTTCTAAGTTAACTTCTTGAATTATTTATACTTATATATCCACTTGTTATAGGTTTAAATGTAGAATAAATCATAGCTATTACTGTATTTTGAAATAAAGTTAAACTCTACGAAAAATGCTAGTTAATCTCAGTAAAGTTATGCAATGAAATGTTTAATTAATATTTCTGTTGTTAACAAAACAACTTTTTTGCTCAGTCAACCGTGATGTGTTACAATGTCTATATAAAAAAAACCCAGTAACGAGTTGCGTAACTTTTCCGGCCAAAATTTAAAATTATATTTAGCGCCATAGTCATGAGAGTTTATTTAAAATTATTTTATATTATTAATTATTATAAAATAGCAAAAAGCTTAATTATAAGAGTGGAGATGAATTTTATTTAAAAAAATTGTGATTGCCAGTAACGAGTAAAGCAAAGCTGTGGAGTCGGAGTCGGAGTCGTGGAGTTTTGGTATTTTGGCCGGAGTCGGAGTCGTCAAAAAATCCGCCGACTCCGACTCCCTTTTTACTTACCAACTTGTTGTGTATATGAAACGGAGTCGGAGTCGGATGGTAAAGAAAAGTCGGAGTCGGAGTCGTTAGATTTTTACGCGATTCCACAGCCCTGGAGTAAAGTCTTATCCAATAATGTGTCTAATTAAAATTAACTTAAATATCAAAGTATAAAAATTAGTGTCAATAAGAAAATGTATATACTAATTAATAATAAAATGAGGTTACTAGCACACTATTTTATTCAGTCATTATTTTTTTATATCAACATAAACCGTTCAAATCAATATCAGACTTTTTGTAGTTAAGCCATTAATTTTGAATTTTATACATATAATTAGCGACAAATATTCATTATATATTATCTTTTTATAATATCTCAGTAACGATATTTTAAATTGTCAATTATAAATTTACGATACATAATATTGTTATAATTATCAATACCATCACCATTATTATTCTTTCCTAGATTCTTTGGTATGGACATTGGCATTCTACACTGACTGCTACAATCATTTCCTCGAATATGGAACTTTGCGCCTTTTTTTATGAAGGAAATCCACTACAAAAATTGAAAAAGTTCGGAAAATTACCTTTAAAAGTTTGTTGCTTTCTCTAAATTATTTTATTAACAAAAAGATATATTGGCTTAATTTTATGTATTAGCTGCCTCAACTTCTTAGACTTACTACCAATATTCTTCAGAAATGATAATCTTTGCTTCTCTTTTATATAGAGCCATCAATATGTTCGACCAGAGGTCAAGTAGATAAGTAGATAAAACCAAGGTCTATATAAGAAGGTCAGGACACGCGTGACATATCTCTTGAGCCGCCATTTTGAGGTTTTTTGAGTCGCGTTTTAAGCAAACCTTGTACGAGCAGTCAGTTTTATACGACATTAATTAAACTAAAATTGCATAAATCCAGTGATTTCCAGTCAAAAATATAATAATAATTTCGAATGATTATCCAACCCCAATTTTATNTCTAGATTATAAGAATTAGATATATTTAGATTTCCATCACTTCTTTTAAAATAAAAATTCTAACAATAAAATTAATGTAAATATTATTTAAATTGAATTAAGTATAAATTACTATTAAACTAAATTTTTTGCAATGTTTAATTAATAAATATTGAGAGTATAAGTCAATACCATCATCATAATTTTATTTTTAAATACAATATGGTCATATTAAAACAGTTATATGTTTAATTATTTTATCATCAGATAGAAAAATGAAAAATTTCATTTGTTTTATATCTGGAATGACAAAATCATTTATAAATTTCTATGTATAGTTCGTTCATGGACACGAAAAGTATCCACTCGTTTAAACCACTTATTATAAACTCTTTGAACTGCATCACGAGCCATCAGTTGATGTCTACGTTACATTTTGCTTTCCTCTGCTTATTTGAGGAAATCTAAACAATCGAACGTCTGTATATTTACTTTTACAATTTGGTACCATACAATAACCCATCCATTGTTTAAAGGTTTAAGTACTTATATACGTAATAATAGTCGACTCACGCAGGAACTACGTGTGGAGTGTAGTCTATCGATAAGTCCCAAAATGGCCGCTGCCGCATAGAATCATGCAAGCGTGTCCTGACCTTCTTATATAGACCTTGGATAAAACCACAGAAGAACTTGATCGTGGGTTCGCATATTACAATGGGTTGCTTACGTGGAGTTTTCTCAATTTTCTTCATATTTGTTTAGTTATGGCAACACAACACTTGGGCTGCCTAGGAGATGCTTTTCGGGAGGTCTTTTTAAGGGAAAATAGTCCCTATTTAGGCGTTACAGATGTGAAGAAAACCCGGAAAACTCCACTTGGCCAGCCCGTCCGAGCGAGGCGCGAATCCACGAACGAACTACCAGTGTTCAGGGAACAGAACCGCTTGACTATGTCTAACATCTAAATAGGAGCTTGTTTCCAAGAGTATGTGCCCACTCGGTAGACCGCGTTTTTAAAACAAATTTATGTATTGACTCAAAATAATTTGGTTTGGATCTGTTTAGTGGGACACGGAAATGTAACACAGCCAATTTTTCCAGAAGGGTGTCTCCCGGAAAGATTTTCTATAAGAAACTTGCTCCAATTATACGTTACACAGGTGAAGAAAACCCGCTGTAAAAATTCCACGCTGTATGCCCGTTAGTCAGGCACTAATCCACGACCGACTACCAACGTTCAATAGTTTAATACACTCGTGACTGGTGAGCCTACATGATGGGATAATATGAAATGCGAAACTGGAAAAATGAAAAAATAGATTCATCATATACTGCTTCATACAACCTATTCCTTATTAGAACTATGTAATTATTGGTTAGTAGAACAGGGAATAAAGGATTTTCTAGAAAGACTTAAACGAATGTTCCTGAAAACAAATTTGGACAGTATTTTTTACTTACTGCTTCCAAATATCATATATAAATTAGAAAACTTTTCGAGATTGAAGCAAAAATAAGAATTACTTCTGAAATGAATCTTAATTTAACCTCACATACAAATGGCTGTATTAGTATAGATAGCTTTGAAGAATACAGTATTGAAAAACAAACTGAGCAAACACACAGTAGTACAGTACTTTTCAAGCTTACTGTTACATGATATAATATTAANTATTTAATTCTACTCTTATGCTAATTATCATGTTAGTTGGTTCTTATATCTGTCATCTTTTCATCTGTTCACACCAATTTCATTAAAATTGTTATATTTTTTATTCTATATTCTCTCTGTAATTATTTGTGTCTGTATGCTTGGTAATTTGTGTAACACTGTTCTTAACCTGATTATGCTCGGTGGTATTGGGGAATAAATAAAGTATATATACATGCAGGAGAGGGCAGGGCTAGTTGTGACAGTTTTTGCTATTTTCTATATAGTGTATATAGTGTGTCTACTAGCTGCACTTCTAAAACAAAATTATATGCACTGTATACTTGATTGTTTTAAGGAAGTGATAAAGCTGTTAGTAATAAACCACAGAATCAGCGCCAACCTCTGGATCCACTCCTCTTATTTCACATACTGTAAAATTTTTTCTGTCGGCTTCATTGTAGGCCTGGACGAACCCAAATGTGTATGATTAAAAACGTCCCAAGACAAATATGAATGGAAAAAAAAGGACATAAAGGAAAGTGTGGATGTCAGCATTTCTAGCCCCAATATGCTTAAAGTGCTGAGCCTTCTGGAATGCATGGATGGGTTGATTACCTGACAACTCTTCCGTTATTTATGAAGATTTCTTGCATGATTTGTTTCTTCATAAGTTGATCATTTGTGTGTTATTATTAGCAGTAACGAGCAGAATTTAGATTTACTTTACTTTATAATGATATTACGAATTTTTAAATTTAAAAAAATATCTTTTGTCTTATACCCAAGATAATATAGGATTGTAGAATGTTAGGTTTTATTTATATACGGCAATGCGACACATGAACGATCTGCCGAGGGGAATGTCTTCCGAGAGGTCTTATATGGGGAAACTGGCCTTTATTTAGGTGTTACAAATGTGAAGAAAAACCCAGAAAATCCCACGTGACCGACCATTTGGCAAGGTGTGAACCCATGACAAACTACGAGTGTTCAATAATTTTATTTTCTCGGCCACTGGTGAGCAGGATTGTTGGGATAAAGCAACGCAATATATAAGCTATCTGTCAAGAAGGAACAACTTTAATGGAAACTGGCCTTTATTCAAGTACTTTCTGGGAAACTAATTGTTATTGAGGCATTTCGTAAGAATTTGTTTTCATTTCAGGTATTAGACATTCAAAAAAACTCCATGGCCAGCCCGTTCGGTCAGGCGTGAACCCTTAAACCAACTACTAGTGTTTATTGGTTCTATCCATTCGGCCACTGATGAGCCAGAAAATAAAATAAGTCAACACTAAATTTATAATTTAGAACATACTAAAAGTAAGCATAAATTCAAATAATTATCATAATTATTACCTTCATTTTCTTTGTCATCGATATTGGTATCTTGCAGTTGGAATTTTTTGCAAGTATTCTTTAAAAAGTAGAAAATTATACATAGAAGTGAACAGGTTATACATTGACTTAATCCATAAAGCAATGGAAACAAGAGAATTAAGATATTCTTCTACAAAAATAAAGTTCATATTTTACTTAAGTAAAATATTCATAAAACTTAAACAATAATATTTAAATAATAAACATACGCTAATATCAAAGGATAAAGTAATAATCATGTATGCGACAGCCACATTTTGAATCCCGCTCTCAATGGCTATCGCTGTGCTGACTGGTCTGGGTCTTCTACAAAGGTGAGCCACAGCATATCCAATTATAATTCCGGTTATGGGTAAAGTTGCAAATGTTATAATAATTTTCCAAGAAATTATGTCGAATACATGCTTAAAATAAACTGTATATACTACCAACATAGCTATAATGAGAAATAAACCTGTGGCACCTCCCCACTATTAACGAAAATAATAAGATGGCAATTTATAAGATCGTAACGAATGCTAATTAATATAAAATTTTAAGGAAAATTAGTTTATACCTTTGTTATATAAGGAGATACTTTAGGAGCTTTCCATTTTATAATCATACCCAAAATCACGGGAGGAATAATCAATAATAATGATAATGCAACATTGCCATAAGGTATTATTAAGTTCTTAGCTTTTGTATGATTTGCATATATCCATATATTCAAAGGCATCATGCCAAAAGATGCCAAGGTAGATATTGTAGTCATAGTCACACTATAATAGATAAATGTTGATTTTTTTCGTTTACACCCCCAAAATTTCTAATTCATACATACCTCAGCGATAAATCACCATCCAAATAATATGTAAATACATTAGAAACTATACCTCCGGGACAACATGATATAATATGCAAACCAGCTGCTAGACTTGATTCGAATTGAAATATTATATTATATATAAATCCTATTAATGGCATCATAATAAATTGGCAAAAGATTCCAATGGCAGGTCCAGCAGGTCTTCTAATGTCTTTATAAATCTATTCGAATTTAATATAATATTCAAGATAAAAAAGATTAAAAATTATGATAAATGTCAATACCTGGTTCCAAGAGATATCTGCTCCAATAGAGATCATTATGATGATTACAGTAAGTATTCCCAGAATATTTGCAACATTTTGATGATATTCGTTAATATAGAAACCGGAGGTATTATTACAAGTGTCATTTCTTTCAAGAAAATCTAAAGTATCGTTTTCCATTCCTATTTTTCAATTAGAAATCGTAAATATAAATTTACACAAATAATGTTTCATATACAGTTTAACCTCTGAACAATGGCCACTGAAGGAATATAAAAAGAAATGGCCGTTATTAGGAACGACCCTTGTTGGAGGTTGTTCAACATGCTTGAATAAATGCATTTGACATTTATTCTTGCGTGGTGGCCGTTATTGGAGGTTTAACTGAATTTAATTTTCAATATTGTAAATATAAATTACAATTTTGTTTGTTCCTTCGCGAGAATTTATAGGAAAAACTGAAATATATTTATTATATACACTGTCAATAAAAATATCAGAACTACAATTTATTTCCAGTTGTTTGCATGAAGATTTTTCCGTATTAATGTCAAAGAAATTCGAAAGTCCTTGAATTTGTTAATGATGATAATAGAATTTAAGACATAATCGGATAAAAAATTAAGTAAAGATAATTTGAATGATTTTTTTTATTTCATTA